AACTAGCTGTTACCCGCGACTTCGTCCGCGGAGGTTTTGCAAGCAAACCCCATTTACATTCAATATTTCAATAACCATAGTAATTGTTATATAACATCTACCGCTGAAGAGAATTGCCGAGAATCAAACGAACTATTTTCAATTTGATCAATTTTCTGGAACGTTTACAATCGTTCTATAATCGAACCAATATGCAATAACAAATTCGAACTTAAAACGGTTCGAACATTTTTAAAATCGAAATAGATAAAAATATTTATAACAGTGTCTGAAATGTTATCAATTTAATACACCTAAGTACTCAATGAAGACTAAATGTAGTTGAAAACAAAAAATCGCATCTAAAATAGTACAATAGAAGCCGTTCTTCCGGTTAAGCCTTAATGCTCTCCCTCACCCCTCGCGTGGAAATTTCGAAAAATCCCTTCTTAGTGTGCGTTTTCATGACGTACGCTAACTGTGTACCAAATTTCACCTCTCTAGGTCCAGCGGTTTGCTCTGGGCGATGATGAATCAGTGAGTCATTCGGTCAGTCAGGACAAGCAATTTTATATATATAGATGAACTAACAAGTAGAGACTTGTAAAGCATAGATAATAATATGAAGCAAGAAACCTCAAAATTTCTCTTTTAGGTGAGTCTTCAAGATGCAACTTTTCGTATAATAAATAATAGAAAGAAAACCTGACATGGTAAATTATTATTAAAATGCGAGATTTCCCGGGAAAATAAAATTTCCCGGGATTTTTCTCGTAGGGAATAAACGGCGAGAATCCCGGGAAAACGGGATCCCGGGATCCCGAGAAAGAAACCCTACCTGTACTCCACTAATCGTGTAGAAACAGTTCTGTTATCGCTATCTAAAAGGTAGCGTAAGTGAAGTCCGTTACTTAATTAAATATGACATCAATACACTAAATATTGAAGACGACTAGAAATATCGAGCCTTTCTAGTCAACTTGACTGAATGTATTCCATAGTAGTACTTTTTAATTTACTCTATGAAAATACTCAGCTGCTCTTAAACTGTTGGTCTGTTGAACTCAGCCAATAAGTCTTAGATCAGTGTTTCCCAAACTTTTTTAGGCCATGCCCCACTTTAACATTTCTAAAATCATCATGTCCCCCCATAGATAATTTTAGTTATAAAATTTATTTTTGTTTTTTTTAGTAATATGAATGATAATTTTAAAGCGATTTCTTACAACTGTTGTCAAAACAAAGAAACAAACTTTTAATAAATAAAAAAATAATAGATTTTAAAAACTTACTTTAATGTGATTTGTGGACTTGATGCTTTTTACACAGCGATTTTATATCTGGTTCAAGCTTAGTTAGCTTAAGTCTCAAATCTCCACGTTGTGTTATATCCAGACGATTTCTTTTTTTAATCAACAAATCACTCACAGCACTAAAGCCACATTCAGCTAGATATGAAGATGGAAACGGTAATAAGAGTTTTCTTGCACATTTTGTGGTATTGGGGTATTTAGCCTCTGTTTCATCGCAAAGCCATGCCATCGCACCTTTAATATTAAATAGAGTTATTACAGATTCGTCACTTTGCAACTCCGCGAGTTCTTCTTGATATTGCAGATTGGATATATCAGCTAAATCCACCAAAACTGGTTGCACCATCCATGTCGGAAAATTCATTTCTTTTAAATCAGCAAATCTCTCTTTAAAATCCGTAATTAAAATTTTTAAATGATTAACAATTTCAAGTATTGCGGAGTCAGAAACATCACACTTGTTAAGCCAATGAAACTGTTCAAAATTTTTGTTGCTGACGTGTTTTTGATTTAATTCTAAATTCTTAATAAAACCAAATATTTTTGCTTTGGCATCAACCAGTGTTTTGTTTGGTCCTTGCAGTTGCTTGTTTAACAAATTTAGCTTCTCAAAGATATCGGCTAAATAACTTACATATGCTTTGCCATTTGTTGTCAACAATAATTTCATTTCAGGCTTATCAATTAAAAACTTTTCAAGCGAATCGAACAACTCAATAAATCGTTTCAAACAATTCCCTTTTGAAAGCCACCTTACTTCAGTGTGTAGTAACAATCGTACGTGGTCTTCATTTTGTTCCTCACAAAATAGCTTAAATAAGCGCTCGGTTTTAGCGCTGGCTTTTATTGAGTTAATGCATTTGATAACTGCATTGAGTACTTCATTGAGAATAGGAGACACGTTTTTAGCCACCAAGTTTTCTTTATGGATAACACAGTGAATAAGTATCATTTCTGGATTATCAGCTTTCATCAATTGTAAACAACCATTTTTTTTGCCCATCATATTGGGGGCACCATCGGCAGCACACGAAATAACATTCTTCATGGGGATCTCATTGTCATCCAAGTAGCATTTGAATATGTTGTAAATGTCTCTCGATTTGGTAGTGCTTTCTAATTGTTTACAAAAAAGCATTTCTTCTGCAAACTGTCCACGTTCAATATACCTGACATAAGTGATAAGAACGGCCTCACTGTCTCTTAGGGTTGACTCGTCCATCTGCACAGAGAAATTTCTGGTTTTTAGTTTCGATACGAGTTGTTTCTCAATGTCTTCGCCCATCTCGTCGATCCTTCGGCTGACAGTATTGTTACTGAGAGGCATCGCTTTTACATCCTCGTCATCTTTTTCTAGAACAGTTTTCATAAAAGCAGAAATTGAGGGCTTTATAAGATTCTCCCCTATTGTGTGGCTTTTCCCTGATTTAGCAATTAACAATGAAATTTGGTAACTAGCCTCTTGAATACGACTATTTGTTACATTTCTAGACGTGAAGATTGAAGTAATTGTCGTCCTTTTCTCGAACTTTTCCTTTAATGTTTTGAAGAAACTTAAATCTGAATTAATATAGTCCTTGTGTTTGGCCTTCAAATGTGCTTCAAGCCGACCCAATTTCATAGATTCGTTTGTCAAACATTGCTGGCATATCAAGCAAAACGGCATCCTCTCATTGTGAACTGCTGGTATAAATCCATATTTTAGATATTCCTCTGAATATTGACGAACTTTCTTTTTTGTTGTTCCACTCATTTTTTATGGGCTAAAAAAATAATAAAATTTTGTAAAAATAATTCAATGTGACAGAGTAAACGTAAATTTAGAAAAAATTGTTTTTGTGTAGATATAACACATTTTGCCGCAAGTGATACTTGGGATAAACGCAAGCCCTGAAGATTCCAGCAGACCAGATTGCAAGATTTTAATACTTCTGGACTCCTTTATCAAAGACACTGCTATTAGAGATATCTAAACTAACTGTGAACCACCGGAAAGGGGGGGGTAGGTCTCCCGATCCGGCAACAGGTTGTTAAACCCTTTCACGGTCAGGATGGGTGAAAGGAGTCTTTTTCCCGCAGTAACGGCCTTTAATGTTTTGGGTCGAGTGGCGGAGGGAGGAGTGCGTCGGTGAGACGACAGGCGATATACGAGTAAACGAGGAGGCCAGATGTAACATAAGAAAAATTAACAATTTATTAAAGCAAGTTTCGGGTAGTACATCATCTAGTTCGCGTCCCTAAAACGTGGAGAGACCGAGAGAGAGCTTACAATAATTGGTTCCATACCTCTTGATCTGTTATCCACTGAGGAAAATTATCCACTCTTTGAATTAGGAAAATTCACTGGTCAAAAATTCACTGGTTAGGAAAGTTCACTGATTAGGAGAGTTCACTGGTTAAATATTTGAATCGATGATTAGGAAAGTTCACTGGTTAAAAAGGACACTATTTTTAAAGTTATCGGCTGGAACGACCCCCGAGAAGGGGAAGGAAGGGGTTTTTATAAGATCGGCGTGGGAGAATGGTCACGTGATTGATTGTTGTGAGGTAAAAGGTACGCCGATGGGTCAGAGTTGTTCCCGGGACCATGCTAACTATCAACTTTGGAGTTGGAATGCGGGATTAGTTTCAAATTGAACGGATGTTTATGTCGAACATAAACGGAAAGTTTTTTTTCCGTTAGGTTTCACTTTAAGTTAAAGGAAAATTTAATTAGATTTTAGGCAAATACGGGACAATTAATCGGCAAAATAATCGGTAAAAATTCCGAATCTCACAAACAAAAAAAGCACAATTAATTAGTTTTTAAATATTATCAATAGTTTTACAGTTTAAAAACTTATATAAAAGCTAAATGGTTAAAAAATAAACATAAATTATTCAATACGTAAAAATTATATTTCTACAACATGTATTAATTCATTTAATCATATAATTGACAGACAATTATGACATATAGGTGTTAAAAATATTAGAGTTAAATTTTTAAAAAAAAATTGTGCAAAAACGTTGTTACTTAGCGACTTTAAAAGATACAAGATTTCTGCGACAAGAGATACAGCAAAGGGAAACGCTGAAAAGTTCACTTGCGGACTCTAATAACATAGTTTAGGTTTTGATACCATCTTAAAAATGCTTATTAATAATTTAAGTCCTCTATTTAGAAAATTTTCTTTTTCATATTATTTGTCACCTAAAGCGTTGCATTAAAAAAGCTCATAGCGAAGGGAAGAAATTATGTCATGTCAATTCTCAAATTGCCCCCCTCCAACCATCAAATTGCCCCCCTCCAACCATCAAATTGCCCCCCTGTGGGGCGTACGCCCCACTTTGGGAAACACTGTCTTAGATTAATAGATTACTTTTTAATAATTTGAAAATTATTAAGTAGTAATTTATTACTTTTACACTGTTTGATATTTTCTATTAGCATAAGCTATTAGCGTTTCATAATTTATAAATACAGTATAAGTTACTCGGAGAAAGATACACATCTGTTAAATTAATACATCAATCGAAACATATCACTCTCATTTCTATTTTTTAATACAATGCAATGACTTCCTTTACTCTATTAAAAATCTAGAAAACGTAATAATTATCGTTATTAATATATCAATTAACTGCTTCATTTATTTTGAAGTGTAAAACCCCGAATATTTTGACAAAATTTATTTAAAACTCTTTTAACGGAACCGAGAAAATGGTGAAATTTTGGTGCTATAGCTTCCTGTCGTAACGCTTTCATGTCGTTATTAAAAATTCCATTCTATTATTGAACAAACTACAGAAGATGATCTGTAATCAAATACCATTAATTAATTTAAAACATTAAACGTTTCTTTGAAATTCAGTTCAATACAGGTAAAAAGCAAATTGTATTCAGTCACCCTAAGCCAGTGGTTCCCAACCTTTTTTCATTAGCGTACCCCGTGACATGTCATATCTCTAGATTGTACCCCTCATTTAAGAAATTTAGCGAGTAACCATATTGTTAATTTTACATATTGTAACTTTAAATTAAAGAAAAAAAACCTAAAAGAAAAAAATGTATAATAAAGTTGTGAATGTTGCAAGGAACATTTTTTATCTAATAATTTTTTAATACTATAGTTTGTGATACGTAATATATTATTTTTTCTGCCATAAAAACTAACTTTTTTCTGTACAGTACCCCTAAACAACCTATCGCATACCCCTAGGGGTACGCGTACCACAGGTTGGGAATCGCTGCCCTAAGCAATCAGCAACTGATCATTTTGATTTAGTATACAATTTTTATTGTCATTGGTTTTGATAAAAACGTTTATTGTAATAACTTGAAGTTAATGAATAAGAGAGCCAATCAAAACATCATACGAAATAATAACACTTTTGTTGATGTGCATGCCTTATGCCGTGTGGCGATAAGCACACGGCATAAGGCATGTGCATAAAGCATCTGCTTGCCTTTTGCCTTAAGCACATGCTCGAACCATTATTATCATTCTAATTAAAACACTCTGCAGTTACATCTAATTTGAATTGAAACTGAATAAATATAATTAATAATAAAATGAAAGTCACGAAGCCTGCAATAAGTTTTCATCATGAATTTTCGACTTTGAATGGTAGTATCATCGTAAGCGGTAAACCTTTCAGTAGCGTAGCGTAGGGAGAGTTTTTGTTACTTGTACGATTAATTCGTAGTCTTATACACCTCCAATATCCAATAGGGCTACTGTAAGTCATCTACATTACTTGCGTTACTCCTACCCAACTCTCCCTAGTCGCTAACTGTAACTGATTTAGAACCAGCATGCACTGCAAATTATTCTTCATTGCAAAATGATATACGCATGCGTCAGGAACTTCCGTTCGAACAAACCTCACCTGCCGTCAGGGTCGGCGATTTTAAAAAGGTGGCAACACTAGCACGGAATTTTTCATTACTTATTCTGTGACGAATCTGAATTTTAATCTTTTAAATTGAGATACCTAAATAAGGGAGCGGCGAAATTTTCTTCCCACGGTAGGGCGGCTGATACCCACGCTACGCCAATGAAACCTTTGTTAATAAAATGTCATAATTAAAATATTATAAAATATAAATATGTTTATATCATAATTTATAATGTGTTGGTTTTGTCCTGTTGTTATCATGGGCGTAGCCAGAGTTTTGTTATGGGGGGCCTAGTAGAGGCCAACCTGACACAAAATTGAATTATTTCAAATTATTGTTCATTAAAATGAAATTTCCATAAAAATCGACAATAACTTAACACACATAAAATATGAAACTTTCTTTAATCATACGTTCTCGTAACATTAATATCAAACTCTAGCAATGCCTTAAACAAAAATTAACCAATCAATTATTTTTTTTACTATTCTTTAATATTAAAGAATGTCTTTAATCTAGATATAGACCAGGGGTGGCCAACAGTTTTTCCCGTAGAGACTAAACTGTACATAGAGATTACAGATACGCTTTGCACATTGGGCACAGAAAGCCGTTGACGTTTTTTTTTTTTTCTTTTTTTTTAGGATCAGAATTTCTCAACTTTCCAATAACTCCACATTGTCAGGTTGAAGAGAGTTATCGCTGATCCATTCAACCAATTATTTGAAGTTCAGTCCAATATTCAAAGACTAATTGCGGGCCGCGGTACACTATACCCAATTAAATTAGCTTCAACTTTTTATTTCTTTTTGCAAGTTGGCTCAACACCTTTTCGGCTGTGATTTTTTGCGGGGGCCGTGCCCACCCATGCCCCCTCCTGGCTACGCCCATGGTTGTTATCTTTGTTTTATATTTAACTAGCAGATGAGCCCGGCGTTGCTCGGGCAAAAAGTAACGATAGCAAAAGTTAGCATTATTAGATTATAGCCGATCTCACTTGTTTTCACCGGGTGCAAGAATCAGGTCCCCTCTCTTCTGAGACTAATTAGAGAATTTTTAGATATCTGCTTACCACATCGGAATAACATAATGTGAATAACATCGGAATAATGTGATGCCTTTGTTTTACACTTTCTCTAATATTAATACTTCAAGGTTAATTATACAGGGAGGTTCTCAAATGCTGTTACAGTATTTTAAGTTCAATACTCGAGAACAACATAGTTGTATTGTATTACGCTGTGTACACACAACAACTGATCACAACGTAGACATGTATGCAATATTTCAAATACGTATGTACAATTTTGAATCAGAATTTCATTTTTTACCATTAGCTTTTGGATTCAAATTATGATCAATTCAACAGGACTCGATCCAATTGAATTGACAAATGTTTTGGAATGTATTTTCGTCGTAACTCCGGTACTATTCGTATGCAACATAATATCGATTTAACCGTTTCTCAAGGAATGCAACTGGCGAAAGAATTGCGGGTTTGAGTTCCGCTCCGGGCCGATCGTTTCTTCTAGAATATTTTAATATCACTTTGTATTATTTTATTTATAATTATATTATTTAACAAAGCAGCCTGGTGATCTACGCCTGCCAAATTTTTTAGTAATAATTAAATGATAATAGCCCGATAAAAATTTTTATATAATTTAGGGTAAAACCGGATGACACGCTTTTAGTGAAAATAAGTTATTTAACTGTGGGTTTCAAAAGAAATAAATACATAACTTATATAGAAATATACAACCGAGTGTTATCTTTTAACGAAGTGAATAATGTTAAATAAAATCTCGTCGTAACATCGTGGTAATGATACTTGTCCGTTTTCGGCATCTACTCCATCAAAGACTTGCCAATACTTAAGTGTGGCATGCCTATTTTATTTGATTTAATGATAAACAATTGTTCTTTTTTTCATAACTAACATCGAATTGATCCAACAGCTTTCTTTGCTAAATCACCATCTTTAAGTTTTTTTTTTTTTTTTTTTTTTTGCGAAGAGTACAATAATGTCATGTTAAATTATTTGTTTGCTTGATACTAATTTAGACTATTAGTAGGTATACTACTTGTACTGTACATACGCGTATTTGAGATGTCAAAAATGCCTCCCTTTAAACGACTCTTTTATATTCACTGTTACTTTCTTGTTTGAGAATCCAGCAATTATCTCCAGAATGGCTGGATCCCTTCATGCATGCTAACGTCCTTCCATTTGAGAAATATCCCAATGGGACCGCTCCTTCTGTTCCTCGCTCAAATCACTCAAGTTCTGCGGAAATATTTCGAGATTAAAGTGGACAAGATGAATCTTCGAGGATATACGACCCCCATTTCTTTGTCACACCTCCGTAACTCTGACACTGATACCAGAAATTCGTAGTTTTCTTTTCTTCTATTTCCGAGATATTCACTCATTACTGTTTTGAATAAATGTCAAATGTCTAATTCGACAGGTTGGAGCTTTGACACAATGATTTTCTATTTAAGAATCTTTCTTATTTCAGGTTCTACTAACATTCCTTTCCATAATTTTGCTGTTCTCAGATTTGGGAAAACTTGAAGGTAAATAAACTCACGTCCATTTTTTTCCAAGGTTTTCACGAAGTTTTTCATTAACACAAGTTAATATAAAGAGGAGGGAGAAAAATCTTCTTGGGTCTATCAGCGACACATAGTTCAGATTTCTTTCTCCAAGTATATATTAACAACATAATGTTTGTTTCCTGATTGTTCCACAAAAAGCAGCAATTTTTCGTAAACACTCCTATGCAATGCAATAACCTTAAAAAATTGGCATAGATTATCCATCAATAATTGCTCTATTTTTAAAATAATATAAAAATTTCCCCATTTTTTATGGGCAACAGAATTTTTCCTTATTTTAATAGGTTTGTATAATTTACATTTTCTTTTTAAAATTTAAAAATATGAAAAATTCTTGAGTGATGGATAATTCTGAGGATTATTTTCACATTCTGCACTCCAAAATACATTAGAAATGGTAATTAACTTAACGGAGAAAAAAGTCATGTTCCCTAGTGCTTCAAATCTCGTATAATTCAATCTTCTAAATCGCATTTATTCTTCATTTCTTTCATTCAATCTAAAATGAATTTATCAATTAAGTGTCATTCTTCAATTCCTCGTGAATTTTATTTTTAATTGTTCCATCAGAGATAAGGCCAAAATACATCCAGTAAAAAATGGCAAAGCTAAAAAATGTAATCGGAAATAGCTTCCGACTTATTCCGTCCAAAACTTGAATCTGTTTTACAGAAACTTTAACAGTTTCTATGTTTGACTGCGTGACTTTCTTTTTATGTGTCTTCTCTGTTCCCACCCAACCTTGACCAGACTTTTCGTTCAAATCCATATTTCGTACGTTCTGCAAAGAAATAATAATAATGATAATAATTTTTATCTTACCATCCTATTTAATAAAAGTAATTAAGGAAATGTGTGACGTTTTATTTACTGTTTGAAATACTATTATTAAATACATAAGCAAAACTCCTCTAAGTTACCAAATAATGAAAGGGTTTACGTTCGATTAATAACATATTTTTATCTTTATGTTGTTATACATAAAATATTTTTTGGTAAAAATAAAAAAAATAAAGATGATGTTGATATTTCTGATCAAGATCAACAAGAAAGCCGAGAAGACCACGATACTTCGTAAAAAGAAAACGGTCTGGTTTAGCTAAATTTAATATTACAGAACTTTTAATTGTAATTGTTAGTTAATTATTAATTGCTTTAGTAAACAATAGTATACTTTTGTTAACTTTTGGAACCTATCCCTATGTTACGCATCAGTCCTTTGTTTCGTATAGCAAGGATCGCATAACACGGCACTTTTTCAGAACTATCGTAAGTACCGTATTTCAGTTAATATTTCAGCATGGGAAAAAACATGAAACGAAATTTGGCATGATGACTTATATATGAGGCATTCATACTATTAGATAATATTAAATTTTGGAGTATAGGACTCGAGAACAGAGAAACAGAGAAATAGTGTGTTAAATTTGGAGTTGGGTTGGGCTTTATAAAAATTTTATTCGTTATTGGTATTTGCAATATTAAAAAAAACTCATTTTTACCCTCAAAATTAAGCTGTTTTTTGCATTTTTATAATAATTAATAATATAAAAGTTGTTTTTAATAACATCTCGTGACAGATGGTACTACAAACAAGTTTAAATTTGAGTTATTGTATACGTTATAGAGTTTTTAAACTTAATTTTTAACGGAGATTTTTATCATAATTTCATAAAATTATTCTTTTTAATTAATCTTCTATTATTACTTAAATTTTAAATCCTAGTATAATGGTAAATTATCGTTTTTCGAATGTTTCAATGAATGTTCTTTCTCAAACATTTAGTGAACGATGCAGGGAATACTCACATCTTTTTAACCTCTCCTATCTGGCCTATGTTTTTTGTACATTTCATCGGAATTATTTCGCAGCCTACAGCACATGTTGTTATAATGTTATACTGTGTATAAGTGTTCCCCCTTTTTTCACCTATGTTTTCTCACGAGTCGTGTTATCCTAACTGCCACTATAACCTTAGGACTAAAGAGGGAGCATTAAGCCCGAAATGCATATCCTTTCCTATCAATAAACCGACCTTTTTCCACTAAAAGTGTTCCTGTGTGATTTGTTCTCAACGGCAACTTTATGCTAAGAAAATCCAGAAACTCATTTGTTTTTGTGTTTTGGTGCATTAAGCACTGTGAATTAAAAATTTCATGAAATAAAAATATTATAATGCGATTTCTGTATTTGAAATTAAATTTATTTACTCACGATCGTGAGTAAATAAATTGCGTGTATCACCTAGTTTCGTGGCTCTACAATCGATAGATGACGTAGTAATTTCCATTTATTGATACATGGAAAGTTTGGTCTCTGTGTATATATAACCCTACATGTTAAAATTTTTTTTTATCGTTTCGGAAAATCGAGTCTCTACACTATGTCAATATTGTAAAATTATAATTATCACTCAGAATAAATATATTATTTGGTAATTTATATCAATATCCCAAATTAAAATGATTTTTTTTTATAAATATAAATACCATTAATTTCTGCTTCCAAGAACTAAACCAGTTTTCAAATTTAATCTCCGCATAGTTGGCCATGTAATACGAGATTGCATACTCCATTAAAGTGGCGAAAACCATATTTAAGCAGACGAAGAGCCAGATGTCCATTGCATTGATGTATGAAACTGGAGGCAAGTTCTTCTTGCTCTGTACTATTTGGGTTGCTAGTGTTAAGAGCGAAGTCACTCCCAGGGTGATTCTTGCGGGTACTGCTCCTACGTCCAACCAAAATGAGAGCCAAGATAGTGCCACTATCAATGTACTTGGAATGTAGGTGTTGATCAAGTAAGCGGTTATCATGCGATCGAAAACAAATATCGCTTTCAAAGTGGTGTAGTTACCTAAAAAATTTATTTTGTTTTAATTTGTTTATTATGCTTCATTTGTATAGCATTTACCTGTATTCCATGAACTGACTTCTCTTCCTGTAGTGGTCTTAGTTATCTTGAATTGGGGCAACAGAATCTCCGTTTCGTAGATGATCGATTTTTTACTTTTCGCAAAAAAACTGGATCCTCCTGCATCTTCCATCCAATGAAGAGCCACCACATCATCAGGAAAGGAGACTATTAAGAAGAACTTTAGGAATCACGGTAACGATACAAGTTACACAAAGAGATACTCACATAAAGCGATCTTGATGATGCAAATTTGCAGATCTAGTGGATACAGATGGAGATCCATGGGACAACTTATACGCAAATCGTATCTGAAATAATTTCAACTTTTTACTTATTTATTTTGATATCAATTTTAACCAATACAGTTTGGCGTTTATACAGAAATGTGAAGAATATTTACCTGGCATAACGATAAATATATCCATCAGGTAATATCTTCATTGCTATATTGGGTAGAGTAATAGAGAAGAGTTTTCCAGAGATAGAATTTTCGAAACAGATGTCGGGAGTCCATATTTTATTTTGAATTTCTAACGGAAGGATGCTGGGTCTTCCGTTGTCGTTCTGAAGACATTTCAAATATAATCTCTCATCTTTCCAGTAATCATTGAAATACATATGAATGTGGAAATCCTGAGAAAATAAATAAATATTGTGATACAGATATACTCAAACTGCCAACACAAATTTACAGTATATAATAAGACTGATATTTCAATGTTGTTTGAATTTCTCTGGGTAGTTTCTTATGTAAAATTTCTGTGTTTATCGACAATTACTCTAATTGTTATCATTTTGTGTTATGTTATAAATTACGCTTAAATTAGAAAATTTTTAAATGAAACTAATTTTAAATATTTTAATTTTTATTTCATGCAATTGCATAAACTTGCAACTATACGAAAAAGTAATTCTGATTTTTTTATTTTAAAAAAATTCTAATGTTTTCATTATTTCTTTAGGTATATTAAGCTTTGATCATTTAGTATGATAAGCTATATATACTTTAATGCAATTTTACATTTGAAATTAAATTAATTTACTCAAAATCTAACGTAATGTTACCTATTTTATGACCTAATTTCGCGGCGCTACAATCAACAGATGAAGAAATAATTTTCAGCTAAGTGAAAAGTTTGGTCATTGTATTAAACTTTGTGGCATTTTATTTTTGGTGTTTTAAAATAGTTACGAATGAAATAAATAAAGCTGGCATTGTAAAAATAATCTTCTAAACTTCAAAATTTAAACTGGAAACATGTCAGAATTTTTTATAATTTCACTGTTTTCAGTCTCTAATCTAAAACCCGTCATTGTTATTATCATTAATTCAATTAAATAATATAAAAATGTCGACCAGAAAATTTGTTTGAAATTCTAATGGTTTTTCTTAAACTGAAACCTTATACTATTATTCATGTTGAAACTTACTGAAATTCATTTTTCTGAAACAGCATGAGCATGTATGGGCTGTGTGTGTGTGTGCCTCATGTTTGTACATAAAAAGTGATAACACATTGTGCGAGGACTTTTGAGCGTTTAATTCCTCCCATTTGGGAAGAATTTAAAAATGACATAAATGTACCAAATAAAAACAGTACATTGTATTTACATATAGTATACTGTTTTATACTTATTTTATACAAATTCAGTTCTTCCTTAGTCTACTGAATTCTGTTACTTTGTATACCTTTGTTAATTAATTAATAAACCAGGTTATGAAACATTGTGTTTTTAAAAATCACAATTTTTCATAACCTGCTCTTTAAACGTTTTGCCTGAGTGAAAATGTTCATAAGTGAGCAATGAGAAACGATCCTCTTATCTAAATTCATCAAGAATACTCATCTACTGTCTTATTTCTCACGAAAAACTTCAAAACTCACCATTGTAGACTCGTCCAAGTCATAAATATCACAAACCCTCAAAGAGATGTAAACATTGACAGCTTTGCCTGAAAAATTCGATTACAGTATGTTTAGTGAATGAAAAATTTTATCAAGTACTGTACATAAATTAAAAAATTACAACCATTCTCAGTAGGTGCCTCTGTTTTCTTGTAATCTTCAGGCATTATTTTGTCCAAAGAACAGCTATGGTTACTATTGTCAAAATTAATTAAAAATTAAATTTAACATCAATTATTCAAAGTTATACCATTTATTTCATAATTGGTATAACTTGTGATGTAAACCAGAGTTGTCCAATCTTTTTTCTTAATGGGCCAAATTAGAAATTTACGTATATTCACCGGGCCACAAACGTCCTTTATATAAATATATGCTTTTAACAAGTTAACAAGTTCAAAATGTAAATATCAAATTTTAATAACAAATATATATAATTACATAAAATACTGTATTATTGACAGTAAAAAAATTATACTCACACAAAATAAAAATAAATTCAATGCGAGTTTTGACATTGCCTTCATTTTATAATATTGTCAATATCTGCTTTCATGGTACCAGTCTTAATTCTAAGAATGCTAGTTAAATAGGAATCACTCAACCTATTTATTTCAGCAGTTTTGATGTTTTTCATGTGCGAAAAGAATTGGTCACAACAGTATGTTATGCATGCGGGGTAATACAGTTTTCTAGCACCAATTACGTCTTTAGGACATCAAAGTGTATCCAGTGAAACGAAAATAATTTTAACAATAATCTTTACCAAAATAAATGAAAATGTACTTAAAAATTTTATGGTGCAGTGGGCGCGCGCGGGTTGGACATCCCTGATGTAAACTATATTCACGTTCGCAAGAATCATGAGCAGTAGAAAATATTGGAAAAGTTTTATATAAACATAAGTGAATAAACTTCCGTAATAACATTGTATCACAATATTAAAATTTGAATTACTGAAATGAATGCTCTACTCATCTTTGTGACAATTCTCTTTATTGAGAATAAAGTAAAATAATCTAAGACATCTAATTTTCTATTTTTTAAACTGCTTTTACCTTGGGAGCTTGTACAGACTTTCACAAACAAGAGGGTCAGTCTGACACCTTAATTTAACTGTTCGGATGGCCAAGTATCTGGCCTGCCGAAAACTACTTAAATCATATTTTGTGCAGGCCGGTAAGCTCGTATTTTGGATTTTCCAATTCCAATGCCACCATACCGCTGGTCCGATAGAAATTCGGGATCGTTGCGATAGGCGGTTGAAGTAATTCGAGCAAAAGTAGTAATTGACCTCCTCCCGGAAGATAGTAAAGTCAACAACTACTATTAATATTTGAAAAGTTATCCGTGTTAGACAAGTTGTGATGGCTCCGGATGTGATCGAGTTGCTAACCTTAATTAATGTCTGAAAGATATTGGCCTTTTTTGTGCTCTCTGAGCGGTAAAGGGCCTTAAACCACAAATAAAAAAAAATGTCTGAAAGACTTCGTATGACTTGTTTAAATAAAAAAAAATATTGTAAAACTGTGAGAATAATTGCCTTTATGTTACACTTACACGAAAACACTTTATCTCACTGAGAATTATTTATTAAAACTCTTTCCTGGCGATTAGACGCCCATCGGTGTCTTCAAGTGACTTATTCTTTTTTGTGCGGCGATAACGCCTTGTGGCGCAAATTAATTAAAGAATTAATTTAAAAAATTCGATTAATTTGCGTTATATTCGCTTTTTCCAGCGATCGCAGCTTTGATTCGCTCTTCTGTAGGTCGATTGACTTTGTTTAAGCCAATAAGTGTTGTTACCACCCCTGGGCCATAAATATTTCGGTAAATACATTCCCCTACCATTCTACAGTAAATCTTCGCAGTTAACTACGCAGTTGGCTGAAAACAATCAAAGGGAAACTCCTTCTAAACTTTTATTGGGTATCTTCTATCTTTGTTGACATTACTTTAACTAATCACAGACTCGTGAAAGGAAAAAATCGCTGCGAAAATCCCCGCCTTCAACCTTCGAAGTAAAATGTAAACAATAGTAATAAAGTGGCTTTTTTAAAATCGTTTTTCAGCTCTAATTAACAAATTTAACGCTTTTAGACATTAAATTAGCAAATTAAACAATATTTAGGCATGTAAATATGTTTTTAAAACTATCTAGCAATAAATATTCCCGGGAAACTCCACCTCCCTATAGTAAGTCTATGGAAGATGTTCTTGCTGTTAATTGGNTCATTCCCTGAATACTGGGAGCTCCGTCGTGGGTTCGCCCCTCGCCAGGACGGGATGGCCACGATATTCCGGGTTTTCTCTACGTCTGTAACGCCTGAATAGGGGCTAGTTACCCTTTCCCTTGGCAGATCGCCCAATTGTTGCGTTGCTGTAACTTAACTAAATAAAAAGTAAAGTTAAACTTTGGCTGCTTCGGTTGCTTGAATTCTCAGTGCCATTTAGAACCTGCCGTCGGGCGCAATATAAAACCATAAGTAGATGGAGCAATGCATCAAAATGCTCACTTTTTTTTGTTGTTTTACTTCAACTCTATTTGCGGGCACTTAGAGGGCCTTTTTAGCAAGCGCATTATGCATTCGGCCAGGCCCAAATGGAACGGATATTTTAGACCACTTCGCGAAAAATTACTGTGGGTTTTTTGACCGGTCCGAATTACGATCCCGGGTCCCTAGAACGGCAGGTTGCATTTTTCCATGGAAAAATAAAAAAATGCGAGTATAAAATTGATTAATCCATATTTTTCATATTACTCAAAGTTCTCTATGTTTATTAAATATTTATTGCGCTTCATTATATTTATACCGCGTGTTGTACAACAGTTTCTACTGTACGTGCGATAAACAAATTGCTTTTATACATTATTTTTTGCATTTATATTTTGTTAGTAGCTTTTTATTTAGTGCTACATTGCAGTCATTATATCCTTTCTATTATTATTATTATTATTATTTTGTTTTGTTCATAAATTTCAAATTTTAATATTATTTTAAATTTGTATTAAACTAAAAATTAAACAATCGTAAACTGTAATATGTTCAAACACAAACAAAAGATTAAATATAGCGTGATTTTGAAGCGAAATATCGCGATTTAAAAATTACACAAAAAATGCTCCGCATCATGAATTCAACCTTTACGTAAGGTTATAGATTTTCCGATCAGAAAAGTTACCCATAACGAAAGTTTTCAACCTTTAACTAACGTTTTTTATCTATTTTATTATTTTGATTTTTTAAATTGTATACATAGTACTGTAATTTATTCTTTGGATTCAAATAGCTCAATATTCCAAAGAATTTTGTATTTCAAACGTGTTCTTAACTTTTCTATACAAAAAAATAACAGATATCAATATTCCATCATAGAACAGGTTGAAAACGTTCGTTACGGTAAATAAATAATTCTCAGTGAGATAAGGTGTTTTTTTTCTTAGGTTAAGAAGCATTAGCTGGGTATTAGTTAAGTATTTTATGTTATAATAAAGTATTTATGTTTTTGCAACAAATTGTGTAAATTATGTCGTAAATATCGTGTTTATAAAAAAATTATTGGACTGCAATTTGAAAAATTGTAGATCTATAAATGTTGTCAGTCTGTCCTTTCTCAATCTCGAGATAGGAGTTAGATATATGAACGTTGAGACAGATGTAGAATGCTTAGGGGCAGGAGGGCCAGATTAATAACTGTATAGGAATTTCAGATTTGGAATAGATGTCACATTACTTCGATTCAAAATTTTCCCCCCCCCCGAACAAAGATACAGAGATAACCGGCACGACTCTATTGCTAATAGGAAAAGTATGATGTATACAGGGACAAAACCACCACTAAAAATTGAGAACATTGTGACGATGTCACAATAAATAATCACTCGTTAGAATTAGTTTGGTTTATTTAGTAACTGCAACGCGACATGTGAGCGATCTGCTTGGGGATGCATCCCAGGAAAACTTTTATGGAAAACAGGACCCTATTTAGATGAAGAAAACCCGGATAATTCCACGTGGCCTGCCCGTTTGCCATGCCCGAACTGAAGACTGACTACTAGAGTTTGGTGGTTTTATGCACTTGGTTATCAGAAGGCGCTTGCTAGAATTAAGAAAGTACCGTTCAGAAATGAAAAAACCCGAGTCGTTAGATGTAGAAAATTAAATACTTATAGATTTTTTACAGGGTGACATTTTCGACTGCATGCAAGCAAGTGTGCGACTACATGTTACCTATTGCAGTAATTATATAGCGCGTCTATTTCCCGCTATATCATTGTCGCAATTATTAAGTGAATATAATATATATTTTATAAGAATTGTATTTAGTTGATTATTTTGTTAAATTTTTTGCCAATGGATGTTTTTGCGCTACATGTAAACCAGTAAATTTAATGTAGATAGAAATGAATTAATTTACAGAAATTCAATAGATATTTTGGGGTTGTACAACATTATCTAAGTTAGGGGTATATAAATATATAGATGAAGAAGATAAAGTCGAGTAAAATAGAATTTTACATAAATAAATCGCGTGATTATATAATAAGGCTACTTAATGAAACTGTATAGATGAGTTTGTGACTTGAAACTTAATATTTAAGACAAAATACATGTTAATAAGAAATAAAAGAGGTAGCACGCATATTTATTTTAGGAAATATCAGTAAAGTGCATTGGTGCAGAGAAGTTAATGGTTGTATTCAAAGATAGTGAACTAAGTGTAAATAATACGAAAGATCTTACGATGCCAGAACGTTACGGATATTCGCCATTATCCAAAAGAGGTAGAAGTTGACCGTTGGAGACATCGCATATTATGAATCCATACGTAGCTGTATATTTAGGTTTTATAATCGAAATGTGGTTCATGTCACGCACATACGCTGCCGATATAAAGCAATCACATTAATTCGTCACGTATCTTTTTTATTTCAGCTCTGTTTTGATATAAAATTTTTGTTTCATAAAATAAAAATTTATCGATCCATAAACAAAGTTATGTGTTTAAATGTTTTCTAAAAAACTAAATTCACTTAAGAGATTGCAATTTCACTGTTAGGTCGCTCGGACAAGATAATTCCATTTAAGCGACTGCAAATTTATATTTATTTTTTTTTATTTACTCTAAAAAATTATCAATACTTTATTTCGATTGAGTTATATTCTTCCTAGTAGATGTTCTCATTTCCCAGTCTTTTGCTTGTCTCAGGATTATTTTTCGTTTTTTAAAGTAATTTAATGCGTTCTGCAACCTCCAAAATAATATTAATAATTCTGTGTAAGATATATATTAAAAATTATCTTTGAATTACGTAGAAATTTTCACAAATAGAAAAACTTTATTAAAGTTTGCTGGAAACTGCATACAACAACAATAATAAAGGAAAAAAATTGCTTTGAATTGATTTGAAAATTAAAAAAAACTTAAATTACCTTTTAAATTAGAAGTTCGATCTTCGTTTTTTAAATAAATAAAGCATATTATAAAAATTTACAATAATATTTTGTATTAAGATTTTAAAAAGCAAAGATGGTCAATACTCCGATCACTCAATTTGATTTTTATTTTAGTAATGTAAAGTCCTGCTATCGAGAATGCCCTTTCCGATTCAATTGATGTGAGTGGAATTCTGTATTCTCTTAAATGCATTAAACACATGTGTTTTTTTCGCCTGTAGCCTCGAAGATTTCTAGTTCGTTTTCGAGATTGTAATACTACTACTTTTGATCTCTAGTATTCTTGATTTGTCTACCTTGGCTGCTTTAATAGAAACATCAAGCTTATAGCCCAATAATTCGGCAGTTCGTTTGGCTTTAATAATCAGGTTTATGAAGAAAAATTTCATACTTGCAGACTTCATACTCGTTTGTATCCTTGCCCAATTTGCATAACTTGGCGTTACGCAGTTATTGAAGCTACTGAGCATGGCTAAAAATTAAGACACCATAAGCACAATTATTCCAGATATTACAGGTTCTGACAAGTAACGAATTTTCAGTGTCTTAACACAAATAAGCCACATATTTATTATTGACCATTTCTGACATGTCATAACGAGCAAAAATTTAAAAAACTAATAAGTAGGTTTAAAATTAATAAATACAAATGTATTCTGACCGTTTTTGACTTAATTATACTTTCTACTTGCAAAATTTCTTCAACCTTAACACAAAATAAGAAAAAAGTGACTTTTTAAGAAATTTGCGGGATTTCCGGGGATGAGAAGAATTTCCCGGGTTAAAAAAACAACTGGGATCCCATGATCCCGTTTGAGAAACCCTACTTCCTAGTGATGCCTCCTTAAACGCTAATTTGTAATTAATAGATGCATAATTAAGCCATTTCACTAGCAGAAGAAGCGTGTATTAACCATGTCTGTTCCCCATGTCAACGACGGCTGAATTATGCACTCCTCAAAAGTGAAATAGCAACACCACGAAGGAATGCGCGTAGTCACAATCACATTACATGACTGGTAGAGGTGACAGAGATAAGCAAATGATTAAAAGAAACAAAGATATGCAACAGACATCATTTTATTCAGTAACGCATGTGGCCCCCGCAGGCAGTTATACGGCGATATATACTATTATTATAGTAAAGAATAGACGGCGTTAATCAGAGGTATTTCCGTAAAGTGGGTTTTCGAAAAGAAGTGAGAAGAAAGTAGACGTAAGAGAAAGTACTGGTGGCAGGGGCCAAAGGGGATGGAAAAGTGGGAAGGAAGGAAGATAGAAGAGGAAGGGTCCCTGACGCGCATATGCATTTATTAATAGACGTAAACAGAAATACAGTAGAGCGTCGATTTTCCGAAAGTCAATCATCCGAAAGATTTCCAGTCGGCAAATTTAAATTTTCGCCAGTGCTGTGGCACTTCAATCTTTGGCTATGTCTTTGGCTACTCAAATATTTTACGTTTTTGATACTAAATTAACATCTGAAGTATAATTTTTTATTGTTTTTATATTTTTC